AGCTGCCGGGGCTGTTGGTGTTTCTTCTGTCAAATACCACTAAATCACAGGCGGAGGTAGGCACCGTGAGCACGTCCTGCCCTAGAGCTGGGGGAGGGGGCGGCACAGTTAACCTTCAGCTGGTTCTAATTCGATAGCAGGCAATTTAGGGCAGGAACTGCCCCCTTTGTGTTTGTGCGAGGTGAGGTCAGTAGGCCCCAAACTTGAGTTCATGAGCAGGTGAAATACATTGTGAAGTAGTTTGATAGAAGTCGGCACAAAATGATTGTTTTTAAAATGGATATATATAAAACCTAAGTCGGCAAGTTGCCTCTTTAAATATGCCACTAGTTCTTTTCATGACTTTCCATGGTAACACTTAAATCCTAAACAGCAGAGGCCAACCTGACTGCTCTGTCCTAATATATGTAACCAGATCACAAATAGTGTTGCATAGCTGAAAGTCTTCTAAATCCAATTAGACCTGTTAAGTAAGGATTGTTTTGTTTCTAATCTACTATCCTTGAATTGCATGACTTAAGTGTTTCTCACTGAACATACAAACCATTAGCTTAAAAGGGTTTGGAATTGCAAGAGCTGAAAGCTGGAGGCAAACCCTTTTTAAGTGGTTTTATTACAGCCTGTTTGCTTCACCCGCAAGAAGGGAGCTGGCTGCTGTAAACACCCAGTTGAGTGAGTTGGTGTCAGGCTGGTTCCTGGGACTCCATCCTGTCCTGTTGCAGCTCTAGCAGTTCAGTGCTTCCAGCAGCTGTTCTCTCCTTTCATTCTTAACTTACTGTTGGGAATCAAGCTAAACCAAATACAGGTTCTGAGCAGGAAACAAGGTTCTAACAAAAAGTGAAGTAAGTAAGTATCTAGGTAAGAAAGAGAGTGCAGTCACTGAGTTATCTCTTAGGTGTCACAAGTGATCTGTTTGTTCTGAAAGTGTCTGTCTGTTCTGAAAGTTGGTGTGGTGCAATGATTCTACTGCTTTAGTGCACTGATGTGTGAGGCCAGTCTTTGGTGAAGCTTGGGCAGTAGCAGGCTGTGCACCTAAACCTTCTCTCCTCACTGCACCAGTGTAAGCAAGCAGCTTGTCTAAAAGTGGGGGGTTTATCAAATTATTTTCTGTTCCTTTTTTTATGGCATGAATTGGCAGAAAACTTCTGTATTCATAGCAAAGGCTTGTGACCCTTATTTGAGCACTGTATTATTTTTCTAATGTTTAGCCTTCATTAAGTGCAAATTAATGCAATTTTTAAACCCTGTTGTGATTAATAGCATGTAAATATTCTAGATACTTCAAAATCGGGATACTTTTACAGTTTAAGAGGATTTTACACACATGCATATATTATGTATTTATGAGTCTGGTAAGTTCTAATGTAAATCTTTGTAATGTTTCTTCTTTTATTTTTTTGATGCCTAAAAAAAAAACAATCAAGTGACATGGTGTGCCCTTCGCTCGTTTGATGTGACATTTCTGTTACTCAAAGAATAGTCTTCTCCAACTCTTCAGAGTTATAGGAATCTGAATGTGACACTGGTAGTATCAGCCCCTTCTATTTACTTTTGAGTATGTTACTGTGTCAGGTTGAGTCAAGATTGTCATTTAGAAGCATATACTGTGACTATCACCATTTAACATGCTTTGACTCACAATTTGGGATGGTCTTGAAAAGCGCAGGAGAAACTAAACCAGAAAATGAACCCTGGGAGCAGACCTAATGCAGCTGCTAATAAGCTTTCTGTCAATGGTACCAAATTACAGCTAGTCTGATATAAAAGTTGCTGAAGTATGTACAGTGTAGACGTTGGATTCTTAACACCAAGTGCCTTACTCTGCACGTCTTTTGAGCTGTCTTGCTTGCCAATATAAATATAGCCTTTCAGTAATGCATGTGCATTTAAGAGTAGTATTAAGTTCAAGATAGTAAGTTATTGACTGGCATTTCACTTTGAAGAAAGAAGTCCTTCTAGAAACAACACTGTTCATAGAATGACAGAGTGGTTTTGTTTGCAAGGAACCTTAAAGATTATGTAGTTCCTACCCCCTGCCATTGGCAGGGGCACCTTCCCCTCGACACCAACAGCCTGGCCTTGAACCCGGCCGGGGATGGGAAAGCCACAGCTTCTCTGGGCAGCCTGTTCCAGCATCTCAACACCCTTATAGTTCACTAGTATTGTAACTGCTGAAAATGTCGTTGTGGCTTGTGATTGGTTTTTGGGTTAGTTTGTTTGCCCAAAAGGTGCTGAAAGGCACAGGCTTTTTGTCTTCTCAAAATTCCATGAACTCCTGGATGAACAGCATCACATGCCCTGAGATGTGGCCTTATTTTCCTTTCCTGATTCAGATTGATAAAATCATACAACATAAGCTCATAACCACTTTTTTTCATTTCAGATCCTTTGATTTGTTGCAAACCTGGACTCGGTTGGATTCTTATGTTGATAGGGATTTAATCCCACACCTCCCAGGATCATGATTGGGTGGGGCATTCCTTATGCTGGTAACATGAAAGAGTCATTGAAGTGGCAAGTGAAAAAAGGAGTTACCTTGTTCAGTGTTCTGTATAGATGAGAATATTGCTAGAGAAAAATCTACCAGAGAATACTTCATGTCTTGATACTTACATCTTTATTAAAAAAATATATTGCAGATTTTACTGTTTGGGGCAGAAAACAGATTCGCTTACTGAGATAAAGGTGGAAAAAGGGATTTAGATCTTTGTGTAGCTCCAAGAGAATGTCTTGCTTCCAAGACAGCAGTGACTTGCTGCTTTGAAACTGTGAGGCTGAAGCAGATCACCTATCTGACACCTGGGGTTAAGTCACACCATCAAGCACAGGACTATGCTGCAACAGAAGCTGCTGGATAGTTCAGATCCTGTACCTGACCAGCAAAGTCAGCAGAGGTTTGTGATACTGACATTTCTATTCAAGTGCTGCTGAGTGTCCAGCCTCATTCCACAGTGAAGCAGAGTTGCTCCCAAGGAGTGACTACCAGTTTGAAACTGTTCTTGTTGGTCAAGTTCCCTGAGCTTCCTGAGGTACAGAATTGTGAAGATTTCCCTGTGTAGCTGAAAGAACAGAAAGGGGTTTTTTTCCTTCATTCATGGAATTCTTTCATGAGCATTTTTCAGTCTTTCTTGTTGACACTGGTCCATTTCATGTTTATTTCCTTACTCATGTTCTCAGATTTATTTAGAGCAGGAGAATGAAAGAATCACTTCACCTTGGCAATTAGGAAGCTCATTTGGTTTTGCCTCAGTAGATGATTGATTCTTTATATGATGTGAATCAGGTTGATGGTTTCCCATTTCAGAGCCTCCTGCAGCCTTGTGGTTAATCAATATACTATTAGGTGAAATGGGTGATGACTCAAATCCTATTAATCCAAAAAGGTGGCATCTAATTTGCATCTTATAAGATCTCTTCTTTGGGTACTTTGTTAAAATGAGGAGATGGTGCTTTTTTGGCAGTTTAATAGGCCTGTCTTAATTTTATTTTGCTGGTTTTTAGAAATGTACACACATGCACACAGAAGATTATTTTTGGCTTGTAATTGTTTTCTTGAAGAAAAAAATCTTTTATCTTTTTTTCCCCTGAACTTGGGTGGGGTTTTTTTAATATTTTAATCTGCTGGAATGGGAAACTAGCTGCTGTTACAACACTGCTTTTGATGTGCATGCTTGTAAAACTTAATTGCTCCAATTCAAGCTACAGAAAATGTGTCCAGTTAACATTGTTAAAAATGTCTGCAGCTTTATAAGCAACAGAGTTGTTCTGAAAAAGTATTTGGCTTTGAAAACAGATCCATTATACTTCAGTGAATATGTAATATATGCAAATATGTTTCTCACCTAAGTTGTTTACTGTGTTGTCTTTTGATTCGTGTCCTGTGTATTGTTGCATGCATGTTTGGTTTGTGTAGTCTGCTCCAAATGTCTTACAGAAGCAATTCTGCGAAAAGCTTTTGTACTGTTTGTACTAAACAGTCGCCTAAAACTACACCAACTTCTTAAGTGCCTCAAAATTGCTGACTTTTTCAATGCAACAAAACAGCATTTAAAATCATAAAGGACAAGACCATTTTTATCTTTTATAATCTTACTTTAACATTGATTTTAATTCTAATAGCTGTGAAAGTCAGAGAATTGTAAAGCTGTCCACTAAACTGTAGAAATACAGTTTAAAAGCAGCATTTTATACAAAGCCAAATTCCTTGTGAAAATGTTTAAGCATCTGTACCATCTCAGTGCTGATACAGAATCTTCCAAAGCAGTATCTTAGTGTTGCTTTCACGTAAAAATTACAGCAATATTTTCTGTCCTTCGCTGCAGGTACTGTTCTTGAAAAGAGGAGAAAACATGGCTTATACAGTGAATGAACCTTAAACTCCTGGGCCAAAAACTGAATCTTTTTTCATGAAGGATGGCAACACCATATGTTCCTGTTCCTATTCCTATTGGAAGTTCCTCATCCAGCTTTACAAACAGAAACCAAAGAAGTTCTTCTTTTGGGAGCATCTCGACAAGTTCCAGCTCCTCAAAAGGACAGTTGGAGGACTCAACAATTGGTAGTTTTAAAAAGATGAGTGTGCCTGACCAGATTGGTTCTACATCATCTGCATGTAGTAGTCCACTTGTTAGGACTAAATTTACAGGTATGGACACATCCATAGAATACTGTACCCAGCCTTCAGAAGAAATAGAGCAGAATACAGATTCCAGGAGCTGGGAAGATCGACCGTCCACGCCTACTATACTGGGTTATGAGGTGATGGAGGAAAGGGCAAAATTCACTGTAAGTTTTGGGGATAGTTCATCAGGTAATGACGAGGTAACAATTGAATATACTTTGCATTTTCTTTCAATAATTAATCCCACAGTTCAGGTACTTTACAAATACCAGTTTAGCTTCTAAGTGTTGCTGTCACATAGGAAAATATCATTCCTGTTATACAGGTGGGAAAATTGAGACTTGTAAGCAGTCTTTCCTGTAATTGTTTATGTGGAATAGAAGGAATTTATTCTACTTCAAATTTTTGCTGGAATAGTCAGGAATTCTTTGCAAAGTTTACAATTCCCTGTGAGACTGGACTTGTAGAAATTCTGGATGGTTAAACATCTTAAAATGTAGTCTTTTATTTAAAATGGGTGATAAGACACCCTGGTATTTGCCTTTTACAGTTATTAGTAACATAGAATATTTTGCATTAAAGTGTAAACACATAGGTTTCAGCTTTCTTGCATTGCTAGGTTTAGTTTATGATAAGGGAAAATTGTTCTGGAAACATTAGTGAGATGTCACATATGCAGTATCTCATGACAGAACACCAGCTTAACTGATTTGTATTGATTTTTTTTTTTTTTTAATTTATCAAAATGTACTACAGTTAGCTTAACTGATTTGTATTGATTTTTTTTTTTTATTTATCAAAATGTACTACAGTTGGCAGTTCAATATGTTTTACATGCCATAAATATATTAACACATTTGGTTTTGTGGATGGGGTTGAAACATTTTGAGTTAATTCAGCAATGTGTGTGGGACTGATGGAAGTTGTTACTTATTATTTATCAATTATGTTACTTCAGGAGAGCAACATTAATGACAAGTAGGTGAGGAGGAGGAAATAGCAGACAAACTTTTTTCCTCCTGTTTTCTTTTAGATTAGAAGAGTGTGGAATCTAACGCCCTTAGGACAGTTGAAATACTAATAAAATCAAGTTCTTTTTGCAAATAATTAATGCTGCTTTTTAATCATTTGAGAATAATGGTTTGTCTTCTAAGTTTTTCCATTTCTAACATATTCATGGTAGCATGATTAGTATTGTTATATTGACAAGGGTTAGTCTGAAAATATGAGCAGGCATATTTCAATGTACATGTAAGATGTTATTCAACTGTAGTTAAAATGACAACTTGGACTCCTTACTTTGTGTAGAAGGCCAAGTTGCGGTACAAATGAAACATTCTTCATCATTAAAATGCTTAGATACATTTTTGTCCTTTCTGAAATCACTTCTGGGCTTGTTCCTCAAAGCACATAATTAACTGTTTTCAGCTGCATGTTGAAAATAAGCTTGCTATTGTGCATTTAAATTAGCAATTTTAATTGCTGGAAATTTTGTTTGCTTCTGCAGTGGAAAATGAGACAATGGAAACTAAATTGACATCACCTGTAAAAGAGAGGAGACTCAACTGCTGAAGTTTTGGGTTTTTTTTTCAATTTGTTAGCATCTCATAGTTCTGAAAATACGAACTGAATGAGTTAAGCTGGGTCAGGAACCAACTTCAAGAGTTAAATGTTAATGCATGTTGGAGTACATGGCTGCTGAAGATTATGAGAGAGAAAACCTAGGCTTGAAAAAGTCTCTGGAAGCAATTGGTTTCTGAGTGAGCAGTGCTGGAATGTTCAATTAGCCCTTTTGGTCTGGGGGTTTTTAGCCAACTAGAAATTATAATGAGATGCTGAATCAGCCAGAGATTGTTACCAACTATTGGCATATTTTCATTGAATGTCTTATGTTTCTGGAATAAGGCAATTCAGGGTTGACTGGAATTATATGAATTTGTTTTAATTTGTTGGGGTTTTTTTTCCCCAAGATCTTTTGTGAAGAAACTGACAGTTGGTTTTGTAATAGTGCAGTTTTTCTTGTTTATTAATTAAAAATCTAAAAAAAAAAAAAAACCTAAACCAAAAAATATCAAACAAAGCAGAACTTTTTTTGACTTTGACAAGAAAACCATGTTGGGGTTTGGGGCAGTAATCACAAGCTGATTGCGTTCTTTGTTGCAGTTAAGTTGACCATAATTTGTAAAGACTTTATCTAATATTTGCTTGGAAACCATTCAAAGTAAGGGTCAGACTTAATGGATATGGGTTTTTGTGTGCATTTGTAAGCAATGCTTTTGCAGAACTTTTAGTAGAATAAAACAGTAGAATAGAATACCAATTAACATGTAAATCTGCAAGCATGTTCCACAGCTTTTTGTTCTGTGTTTCACTTTGTACTAGCAAAGTTTTCACAGTTTTATATAGCAGTCTGCTTTATGAAGTTTTCAGAAAATGAAACTGTTTATATGTATGGTATGACAAGAAAGCTAAAACATTTGGATAAATATACAGAAAATGCAAGAGAGAAGAATTACATTTTAATGCTGGTTTCACAGGCATGTCTTGCAGCTTGAATTTTAAAAGCTAATAGCTTTTAGTTAATGACTTAAATATTGCCTCTGTTGCAGTGCATCACTTCCACAGATGATGTTGCTTTGAAGTGGAATACTGTGTTTAAAAAGTAGATAAGTACTCGCTGAAAAACTGCTTTTAATTTGCATTGTAGTTATCTGTAGCTTGTGTAACTTTGCAACTTAATATATTATAGAATGCGAAAATGCTAAAAACAGTCTCACACGTACAGAGGTTGGCTAGCACTGGGTTTATCACATGCTGGGACTGCAACAAGAAAAGTACATTTATCAGCTAAGACAACCTGCTGTGAAAACATGAAATACTGGGGAAGATTTTACTATGTAACAGATTAAGAAATGTTTTCAATAGAATTTGGTTAAATGCCTATAAGGGATTGTTTATTATTATGATTCAAAAAATACCTTTTTCTTCCTCGTATTTTGGAGACATTTTTACTCATATTGGCAGGGGGAGAGGGAAAGAAGGGAAAAATTTAACTAGAGAACACCTAGACTGGGAGGACTAACCCAGTAGCAGAGCAGTCTTTTTCCTTACATTGGAGAAATCAAGGTTGTGACATGAGCACCTTTCACAGTTTAATGTTTTCTAGTTGAAATTGTGTGTTGTTAGATTCATTGTGTTCAGGCATTTGAGTATTTACATTGGAGAAATTAAGGTTGTGACATGAGCACCTTTCACAGTTTAATGTTTTCTAGTTGAAATTGTGTTGTTAGATTCATTGTGTTCAGGCAGTTGAGTATTTGTCCCCATCCATTTGCTTTTAAATAGGAGAATGGTACTGCTGTGCTGTTGTCTGGCTAAATCTGATTCAAATGACATTACTTCAGTTCTACAATGTTAATATAATCATTCTGATGCAGTTATCTAGGGAAATGGTTATATTTTGCTTGGAAAGACAAAACCTTATGTTCAAGATAAATGGAACAAAAGGAGGATGTTATTTTTATCCTGCAGCGCTTTTTCTTGTGAAGCAGGTCAGATAAGACATTGTAAAACAATACAACACACAGTACCTGATTATTACAGTCATCTTGAAAACAAACTGGCCTCAAGAATTAATGAGAGAACAAAGGTTAAAGTAGATCACTAAAACATACCTCACTTACCGCTTTGATAGCTGAGACTTCGGTTTGGTTTTTTTCCTGGGGAAGAAATCTGGGTTAAATTTAACATGCCCTTTTTATAGACAGAAAATAGCTACATTTTATTTAGGAATTATAGAAATTCCTTCCTTAAATTCTGAAAATTAATTTTTTTTCCACAAGTTTTATTTCATTAAGCAAAAGAGAATAACTTCAGCCTTCCAGCCAATGCAGTGTGAAGTCCTGTGCTTTTTTCTGATATTCCTGTTTTTACACATAGGTATACAAAATACTGGTAAAAAGAAGTCCAGATGAAAGTTGGGTGGTTTTCAGACGGTACACTGACTTCTCCAGGCTTAATGACAAGGTGAGAATTTTACACTGGTAAATTCTCAACTAACTTACCTCACTGTTCTTTCATGTTTCATTTTCTTTGTGTTTGACATTTTTGGCACTTCTTCTCTTGCTTTCTTTTTTCACTACGTATACAACACGTACTATATTAATGAATGAAAAACATGATTACTCGTTTTTTCAAAGACAAATGCAGCTAGCGTAAAGAAAGTATTTCTTCATCTCACACTGTTTTAGTGTGCATCATACATTATATTTATTCCTAGTCTGTGTGGTAAAGGAAGTTAACTCTTTAATAGCTGTATCCCCACCATGGAAAAAGAATTACAGGCCTGTATTCTGATAATTATTCAGTCCTTTTCAGTGCAACAAACTCTGCTTTTTTTATGATAGAACTGAAGTTTTATGAACATAAATACCTTGTATGTTGGTCAATCTTCAGTCATTTTCAGTGTCTGTTGAAGTTAATTGTGAAAGAGTATATCAGATTTTTTAAGCTGAGGGCAGAGACCCCAGGTAAACAGGGGTTCTGCATCAGCAACTTAGTATTTTTAGGACACTTGAAAGCAAAAAAAAGTTTGGTCTAAAGAGCACAAGTTTTTTAATTGGTAAATAGCATTTGGCTATCCCATTTAGCATTATTCATATAGAAGCATAAAAGTACAAAACATAGTAAGGGATTTTCTGTGTGCCTTTTCTCCTTGGATCAGTATGCCTAACCAACAAAGAACTTAATTCTGCTGAAATTTTCAATGTGGACTTGAACTTACACATTTCTCTGGGTTCTTGGTTTGACCTATTTGTATATCTTTTAGGCTAGGAATGCCTTGATATTGGCAAAAGCCTGACTTATTTTGCGTTGAGGATATTCTGGGGATTTCAACTCGGATCTCAGAAGTCAAGCCATACAACAGTTTGTATTTTCATCAACTATGTCAGATACAGGTCAAGAACTGGATTATATGCACTGACTTATAATGTGGTTATCAGTAGTTTGAAAAATTAAAATGCCACAGATATTCATTTTACGGTAGATTTAGGTTTTACAAGTGCAGTCCTTAGTCTTTGCAGTCAAATATTTGACAAAAATGTTTGGCTTCTGGCATGGTTTATAGGTATTAGGATTTCTGTTTAAAAGGAAGAACTTTATTTTTCCCATGTGTCATTGACAGAAGCTTTTTCATCTTTTAGATGAAAATGTAAATTTTTACTATGTTCCTATTCAGTAATTCTGTAGAAGCTTCAGAATTATGTTTATGTTTCAGTTTCTGGAGCTGGCATTTCTGATTATAAAAAGCATGATGTCTTAAGAACTGAGGAGTAAATGGTTATATGCACACCTCAGTGGTTCAAAAGACATGGTGCAACACTTGCAAAACCTTTTTCTCTAACGGGAAATATAGACATGAAGTTGCATATGTGTATACTTTCAGCTTTTTTGGTACCCTATCACTTAGAAATCCAATATAAACAAGACAAATATACAATCTTATAAAGCCTTTTTCTCACCATCCTTCTTAAGGTTAGTGGCAAATTATTCATTGTCTGACATGGTAACAGAAACTTGGCATTAAACATCAACTGAATTGAATAATCAGCCACTGTGATCACTACATGAATTGGTTTCAAGTGTTAACAGAGAGGGAATGGCTTTTTCAGGAAGACCAGGTAAAGACAAAAGAGCAGTATGTTTTGTAAGTGTCAGGCATATACTTA